ATTCTATATTGTTGCATCTATCCATCTGTCTACCTTCTCTGTTTTCTCTATCTTGCATCAAAATTTAATTCTGCATCAATTATTCCTGCTGTATGTTTTTAATCTTCATTTACATAACACTTTGAACTTAAATAAACCATTTTTTGATAAGAGGTAACTGGACATTCTTATATCCAGTAAATCAACATTAATATCATTAGTAATATAAAGGTGAAGAAAAACTGACACCATGCCATCAATCTTCTAACACACTGAGATATTTCAAATAATTAGACATTAGAAAAAGAAACTCAGCTTAAAATCTCCTAACCATCTCCTGTAGACTCTTTCTGAAGGCATTTTAATTAACTACTGAGCTTCAGCCAGCTTTGTCAAAATCTGATTTAAATTAGAAATAAACCAATTAACACAGCATATAGATTGAGCCAGACAGTTATATAACAAAATTTTTCAAAAATTTTAAAGGTTTCTTTAGAGAATAAAACAATGTTTTGGTTACAAATAAGGAATAACCCCCAAATGAGAGTTTAATTAAATTTTTTGAAGTATATTAAAATTTTAGGCTCTAGTATTAAATTGATATAGTTTAAATATGCTTTTGTTTGTATATATGATGAGAAGTTTGACATAAGATTACACAAGTATGTATAGGAGGATATGTTTGACAGCAAAGAGATGATAATGAAAACCAGAATTTAATAAGAATTTAAAATATAATTTTGGGTCATAGCTCATTGTTGTGTTTTTTTCCTTGTTAGGCTCTCACTTAGGCAGCTTTCAAAAATATATGACAAAATGCTACCAAAGCAGAAAAGCAAATTACCCATGATAACTACCCTTACTATATGAAAGTTACATTATTTGTAATACTGATAAAAAATGCTCTGACAGTGTTTTATTTTTAGCAGTTCTCTCACTTTTGATATATCTTAGAAATCCAGCCAATTGTTTTTCTGTATTTCTGGATCATTGTTGTGATAAATAGATTTTTGAAATAAGAATCAGAAAAAGTGATTGAATTGCATAGGTAATCTAAGGATAATAAAAAAATAAAAATGGCAGACCGGCTAAAAATGCTTGGCTTGTAATTTGTCTTATAATTTAATATAATTTATGAATTAGTGTTGATCTCTATTTAATTCAACACAACTCTAGAGTTGAAAGTAAGCTCATATCTATTTCATTATGCTCCAGAAAGAGGATGAAAAATACTTATTTCCATTATAAATACTTTGTCTTTACATATTTATTTTTTTTTCTTTTTTCATACTTATTGCCTCATGCTTGTGTTTCCTTACATCTCTTCTTCTTGCTTTTCATTCTTCCTGTTTCAGTCATAGCAATTAGCTGAGACTGTTAATGTTGTGATGGTCTTTAATTAACAACATACCTCATGATAATTTTAGTTAGTTGTGAAATATTTTATATTTCATATTACACACAGGAAGGAAAAATTCACATTTAAATAGAAAAAAATATGAAGTGATTATATGGGCAATTTAGTCATGGCAATAAGTCTGGCATTATTTATGAAGAGAACAAATAATCTTTGTGATTAAAGAAAACTCAAATGTTAAAGGAATTAAGAATGCCTTTTATAAAAATTGATTTTAGTCAGAAATGCAATACTAGAGATAAGAATTAACTTTCTTTTTTTTTTTTGAGAAAGATTAGACATAAAGAACAAAGATGTCCTTGTCTTCACTTCCTGTCTTAGAAGCAAAATAACCTCTGGAACATTATAGTACATTTGTCTGTCTGAAAGTGTGTACTAAAATGTAATAGCAGAGGAGGATGAGGAAGTTACCTCCAAACTAAGATTAATGCCATGAGATTCTGGGATTTATTTTCATAGTGGACTGGAGCGATAGGGCAGTGGGTAGGGCGTTGCCTTGCATGTGGCCAACCCGGGTTCAATTTCCCTCTCCCTCTCGGAGAACCCTGCAAGCTATCGAGAGTATCCTGCCCGAACGGCAGAGCCTAGCAAGCTCCCCGTGACATATTTTATATGCCAAAAACAGTAACCATAAGTCTCACAATTGAGATGTTACTGGTGCTCACTTGAGCAAATTGATGAACAATGGCAGGACAGTGCTACAGTCCTACAGTGCTATTTTCATAGTAAATTTGAAAGAAATCTTTCCCCTTAACATGTTAGCCCAGGCTTCTAATACTATTTTAGGCTGAGATTTTTAATATAGATTCATTTATTATATATAAATATCAAATAAAAATTTTCCAGGTTCCATCCAATGACTGACATATTTTTAACCAAAAGTGAAGACATTGACTTTGTTCTTATAGCCCTTCTCTCTGTAGCCAGTGTACCAGTTTCTCAACTTGTGCTGCCTTAATCTATGACTCTATTTCTTTTACACTGAAGGGGAATTTAAATGAGTCTGAACTGTAGACACATGTATTACTCCAGTCCCATAGAACACCTCAGAGTCTAATTTCCTTCAAGTTAGAAGTCATAGTCTGCTTAACCTCCTGGTATTTTGTATCCTTCTCTTTTACTTTGTGATCCAAATTACTTTGTAGGTCTCTAGCTCTAGTTCAAGCATATTATTTCTTTTTAAAGCAGGGATTCTTTACTCTAGACATTATGCCATTCTAAACTGATGTTGATTGCAGTCTATCCATTGAAAATCAATTGTTATTCTTTTTGCCTGCTCTAGAGGTTGACCTTTCCTCAAATAATTGATCTCTAGTCAAGTAGAATTCAGTGTTCCTATGCCAGTTTGCGTTCCTGCTCTATGTTTTTGTCCCGTGCTTTCTTTATCCAGTGTCCAAAACAAGTGCTTTAACTAGACCCTTTAGTCTGATTTATGAAACTCATGAAAGACCATTTCTTATTTCTCTGATCTCTTTTCAGATGATTCTGCCCCCTTTCCACCTGCATTGGTTATTGTGCTATCTCTTGAGTAAAACATGGAGATTTCTCCTTACAGCTATTGTGGCTTAGTATAATTTTTAGTCCTGATACTTGTATGGCTAGCAACTTACACTCTGAATTAAGTCTCAATTCAGATTTTACTCCCATAGATTAGTCTTCCACTAAAAAACAGAAGATTCTATATCTTATCATATATTAATTGCCACATAAGATTATCCTATATTACCACAATTACCACATATTTAAGTTTTCTGTAAGTTTTTCATATAGGTGTAATATCTTATAAGTTAACTTATATTTCTATACCCCACACCAAAATGTTAGTCACCCCTATGATATTTTAAGTTATATATCTACTTATATTTCCTCTGACTCCAAATCATTAAAGTAAATTTGTTTTGTCACCAAATCTCTAGCACTTAGAAAAGAACCTGGTTTGTAATAGGGAATCTAAATAATTTTGAATTACTGAACATAAATGCATGTTTCATCCATCACTTCAAATGTCTTTATACATTAACTTGGCTGAGGGAAAAATCTTTCAACTTATAACTGAAACATTAGGATGACATAGCTTTACATTTTTTCTTATTTCTTAAAATAGATTATTTATAATGATATTAGTAAAATTATCCAAATTTTGGGCCATCAGGGAACTAATTTAGAAACCTAGTGGACAGAGAAAATGCACTGGAGTTAAACATTAAATGAGGAAATTACTTAATGGGTTTGATTTTTATGTTTTTTGGCCATATTACTTGTTTTCCTCTTTCGCACCATTTATATTCACAGACTATCATTAACATAGCACAGACTATCAACTAGGCTATTGACTATTACCTAGGTGTTTTAGTAATCATATACTTAATGAGTGTAATTAAAATGTTTCAAGGTAGTGCTGTAGAAGAATAATATGAAGTTTGTCATAATAAATGGATTGTTTCATAACTTTCTTAATATCTTTATTTTTTTCATTAAAGGGTTATTTCATTTCTTGTGACTTGGGAAAAAACATGTTTTTGTTTTTAATTTGTGATGATTTTATATACAATAAATTAGCGTGCTATTGTTTATACTTTCAGTGTTAGACAATTATAAAATTCTCTTGCATTATTGATTTACATAGTTTCTCTTCTGACTGTTTATTGGAGCATTACTATTGTGTTTTAAAATATGCATGTTACCTTATGTTAAAATAATTGTATAAAACAAAGTTTTTTCCTTGTTAAAGTCTTTTTCTTTGTGTTAGCAAGCATATTTTCATTATCATATTTATGTTTTACACTAGTTGCAATTAGTGTGTGGAAATGTGTATTTACTGTACATATTTACCAGAAAACGAAAATCTTGTATTTATAATAGCTGCGTTTTTCATAGCATATAATGTCTGACTGTTTTGTGGATTATTTTAAAAATCATGTGTGCCGTTTTATTTTTTCTTTATTGTCTTGGTCTTCCATATTTATTAATTTATGTAATATGTACCTTTTTGTCAGTAAAATCGTTTAAATATATATTATAAAATGTATGTGTATCCTTTTCATCCTATTGTCCAAAGCAGATTTTAATATAACATATTTCATAAATGTTAATGGCCTGAAGCACAGAAATAATTATAAAACACTCATCAAAGTGCAATCACATAGTAAACATAAAAAACTAATTTAAAAGTTAACATTTCTTTTTTCACCTATCCTCACGATCTTTTGTGTGTAAAATTTTAATATAGGAACCAATATTTTTATTTATATTTAATGTTTAGTACCTATCGCATCAGAATTCCTGTGACTATAATAAAGTAAGACATCTTTTGAGGTAGTCTTACCCAACTTCAAAGAGGTGCAGCTAATATTCCCATCATTATTAAGAGTGGAGAGTTTTATTTGAAACATCCAATTTGAAACGTCTAATGGGACAAGAAGTGCACACTCGGTATTAAACTAGGGACGTGGAGATCAGGCCGGGGGTGTCCTGAGTGACCTGGGGTGGCGAGTTGCGGGGTCTGTGGCTTGCAGTGCAGAGCAGCCTTGGGAATAGTGTGTAGCTCATCTGAGGCCAGCCTGAACTGAGCAGAGTCTGATGCTCCGCCCTGCGGTCCCCGCAGGTGGCAAGCACAATGAGAGACATCCAGCCCTCGCCGCTCCCCTGCGACACGCCGAGCGCAGCCCAGGAGGCGCTCTCCCACCCCGACACCTCCTTCAACAGCCTGCGGCAGAGCGCGCCACTGCACATCGCGGTCAAGGGCCCCGAGGAGCCTCCAGAGGAGTTCGTGGTCCAGGTGCCCAAGGAGCACAGATTGCAGCCCAAGGTGCGGCCAGCGGTGAGGGCAGAGGGTCGGGGGCGGCCGGGGAAGGGCTCTTGGGAGGCTCAACCAGTGTCAAAAGTACATCTTGGGTACCTGTACTCTCTGCATCCAGCTCGTGCTACCCTAGTTTATTGTTCCACGGTGCATGCCTGTTCTCTCTTAGAACCTAATCGCTACTTTAAAGCGCTTGACTTTCAATTCTCGGTTGGAATTTACATATCTTTGCATGATCACAGGACATTAAATATTGGTTTCACCGATAACATATAAAGTATTGTAAAATTTCAATGGCTGTAAAAGATATCTTGACTTTTCTGATCGTCTACTTGCTTGAAAATTTTCAACAGTGAAATTTATCTCTAGGTACAAATAGTCTAAGTACAAAGATTTATTTGAAGAAATTATGACAAAAGCTTGTTTTTTAAGGAATTGTGTATATTCATTCAAAACATAAAAGCTGATAAATAGTGGCTGGAAAACTCAGCCTATTTTTATGAAAGTACTGGGAGTATGTTTATAATGATGTTCTGAAGCTATCAAGTACAATGGGTGATACCCAGCATAGAAACACTAGTGACAAATATATATTTGTGCAGGATTCAGCACTTATTATTTTACCCAATATTTCATATTTCATTGTATTTTTTATATTGTACCATGTTTATCTCACTTTTCCTACTAAACTACGGGCAAGGCCTCATTAAGCCTCGGTTTCCTTAAGAAACTATATATGAAATATAAAGATATACTAGTTATAGTTAAGGTTTTATTGGTATGTGTATCACAATCTAAAGAAGGCTAAGAAGTATTTACTAGTGGAATTATGATTGTCCCCAAATCACCTCTCTTATTGCATAACATCTTTGTGGGTATAGTCATATGAAAAATTCAGAAAAATAAAGAACGTGAAATACTACTATAATAACTGAGCTTATCTTCTAAACCCACTCACATCATTTTTTGATTAACAAACAAAGAGGCTGTTGCTGTCTTTGGGTTTACTGTCTAAGGAAAATTACCATAAATCCATTTGAAATTTAAGAGGCATTAAAGATAAACAGACCCCTTCAATTACTTCAGCAGTAGAGTAAGAAAGAGTATGATTAAGCTGACATTTACTAAGTTTTGTTCACTAAGTCAGAGTGCTAAATTGAAGGCATTGCATTCTTCCATTGGGATTAGTTTTTCTTTTGTTGTGTTTTTAGTGTTTGTTTTGCTAATGACTTGAGACCAGTGGTAGCACTGCACACTTTTTGGTTGGTTTTGTTCTTGGACCACACCTAGGAGTGACCAGGGCCAACTCCTTGTTCTGTGCTCAGGGATCACACCTGGTGGACTTGAGGGACCATATGTATCGCTGAGGATTAAACTCTGATCAGTGGCATGCAAGGCAAATACCTTGCCACTTTACTATCTTTCCAATCAGAACTCTCATGGGAGCAAATAGAGTCAGCACCATCATGTTGTTAAAAAATCATAGTAAATGTTCTCCAAGAACTTTGCTGTTGTTGATATTTTTAACTTTGTTTCACAACACCGTTTAAAACCTGAAATTCTTAAAGTTGGATGCAATTTTGATTTTTCTAGAAAATTCTTCAATAAAACTTTCAATGGGATGATGTATCTTGATTTCTATGTAAGGTGACAATTAAAAAAAAATAAGATTCAGAGGCTGGAGCAATGGCACAGCAATTAGTGCAGTTGCTTTGTTCCCACCCTACCTGGTTTTGATCCCTGGCACTGTAATGCAGTTCCTGGAGTTATGGCAGCAGTGATTCCTGACCACAGTTAGGAGTCAGCTCTGAGCACTGGCAGTGACCCTCTACCTAAAAATGTTGAAAATAACAACAACAAATAATTATAAATAAAATTTAAAGTGATATAAAATTAAAATATTTTATAGAATACCTCTCCTAAACCCAAAGCAATTTCAAATGCATTCATTCTCTAACTTAATCCAATTAATACAGTTCAGACACAAGTTCTAGTATTAAAGAAGAAACCCAGATGTTCTTTTATTTATAATTAGATATTGTGAACATTTAAACAAGTAGTTCACATAAACACACACATGCATATCTCTTCACGCAGTTCCGTCCTGCAACAAAAAATTAGAATGTCAATAACATAAGAATAGTATTTTTTCTATGAAAGTTGTATAATTTTAAATATTCCCCGTTTTTATAACTTGATAAGGGTTTCTATATTACTATAGAATTATTACTATATTCTATATTACTATATTACTGTTTACCATGCATATGATAGGTTATGCTCTAGCACTGTTTCAAAATTACGTTTCCTATCATCTAACAAAGAAGAAGGTTATAAAGTTATGGAATGGAACAAAAATGGGATAAACTTCCTGTTAATCGAAATGGAACTGAGGTAAATATAGTGTAATTTTATTAGAATACACAGAAGTATGTGAATTTACTATGATTATATATTTTCTAAGAAAAGTTGTTTAATTTTATTAACAAGATACAAGAAAATCTTAAATTGCCCCCTTTCTGCATAAGTCAAATAAGTAACATTATAAAGGTATAATATTTTCTGTCATCTAAAAGTGTACAGGCAATTATGACCCTTGAGTAAGGCATTGAAGATAAAATTGATGAATTATCTATTTTCAAATCACTCACATCCCAAATTGGGGTTTGTAATTTCTTTCTTTGACTTCATAATGCTCTCTTCTCTCTCTGAAGAACCCCATGCATGCTTTCTCTTTTGAATGCATTACCTTCCTCACTCAAAAGTGTTTTTAAGACCACTTACTTACTTCATAAGTACATTAACATAACATTGAAATAAGATATACCATATTGTTTTGAGCTCTTCAAGTTGAAAACAGGAAAGTGTAAACAAGAAAATGTTACCACAATACCACATTCCTTACCTCCCATCTCCACCATCTTCCTCAAAATGAAACTAGGATAGAAACAAAATAGTTCAGACACAGAAAACTATTCATAAAGAAGACTATTATCAGTGCAGTCATTGAAAATGGTATTTTATTTAAAAGAATTTCACCTTATGTTCATGCAATAAACCCATACAGCTTTCCCTAGAAAACATGAAGATATATATAATCTCCTGTTACTGATTCAGAATTTAACTTTGTCTTATTACATTTTTTGGTTTGGATAGCTGATAGCAGTTTTGAGCACTTAATGAGCATTTGAATATATAGTAATTAGGACTGTGCTGGAACAGCAAAGCCTAAACGATGATAAAACATATTGTTCTCAGAAGACAGTTTTTTCTTTAGCATTAAAGGCAGAAGAAAGTCTGAGGGCAGATTGCCCAGTCAATGACTAGATATCAGGACTTTTCATTGAAGATAAAGGAATGTTAATGCATTTTTTATCAGCATTTCCTTTGCTTTAATTGTGATTTTCATGCAGATACATAATAAATGAATTGAGATGATCTACAAATAATATGCAACACTCATACATGTGTTCTTTTGGAATGTAGTTAAAGCATTTCCATCTTGACAAGTCATAAAAGCTCATTTCTATGTTCATTTTAATGTAGATGTTTTTTAAATAGCCCAAGTACTTTTACAAGGGTCTTTTGTATTGTTACTTCTATTAGAGAATTGCATGGACCTCTGATGAAATAGTTTTATTAGCTCTGTCTTCTATTCTTGAATTTTTATGCTTATATTTGGTAGTAGCTTTCTATTAATAAGCAAACCCATTTGGTATTTTTGTTCCCTTAATCAAGTCATTTTTGATTTTTGTGACAGTTGTTAAATGCTAGAGGTTTCTTCCCTTCTTTACTTTGTACTAATTTTCTTTGTGTTATTTATTTTTCTACATTGGATTAAAATGCATATGCATATGCACATGTTGATTCTATTCTATCACAGGAAGAGAAAGCTGGAGAACTTATAAACTAATTTCTCAGTATCCTACTATTGACACCCAGAATGCAGCAAATGCTTTCTTTAAAATACCTCTTCAGTGAACACAAAACAGCATGCAAGTAGGGTTTTGGGGATTTTTGTTTTTATTTTATTTTATTTTTTTTATTTTAAGAACTCACAATTCTTACAGGAATTATACTAGATCTTAGATGTCTAATAATAAGTTAGAAAAAAAATAGCAGGGGATTTCTTCTCTTTCCCTGTGGATTTGATTCTTTGGCTTTTCTCTAATGGCTCTCTCTTTTCCTTAATATCGTTACATGTATGTCTGCCTGAATTACATAGTTCACTTCTGAGCCAGAAATGTACCACCACATCTTCTTGTCGATTAAATAAAATTTCCAGGAAAGGGAATGTAATTCCAATTGCCTTTGGTAAATATCTCTGATAAAAGTATTCCTATACATGACATGTCTTGATCTAGTCATACACAATAGCACTTGTGTAACGAACAGCCAGTAGGAATAGAAATACTGATTGCTGAGCTGGACTGAATGTAGAATGGCACATGAAGAGTGAGTATCTAGGTGGTGTTAGAGAGCAGGAGACAGTACTCCTGAGATAATGTGGTATCTAAGCTGAGGATGGATAACAAAGGTATTAGCCAAAGAGAGAAAAAAGGACATAATTTTATAGACAGAAAATTCAGTAGTACAAAAGTTAATTCGAAATGACTGTAGAATTTGATGCAAAAATATAATTTCTAGTGATTAGTTAAGAATTGAACAACTAGGGACCAGAGCAATAGTATAGTGGGTAGGGCATTTGCTTGCACGTGGCTGATGCACGTTCGATCCCTGACATCCCATATGGTCCCCTGAGCACCTCCAGGAATAATTCCTGAGTGCAAAGCCAGGAGTAATCCCTCAGCATTTCCGGGTGTGACCCAAAAAGGAAAAAAAAGGAAAGCATTGAACTACAGAAATGATGGAAAGGATTTGATCGGTGTGTTAGTATGGCCTACGTAGTGAAATAGGCTTGAAGTCTTCCTCAAGGCCATGATGGAGCAGTGGGTTATGGCCTAATTAACCTGCTGCCTTCATTTGAAGGATGAACCGTATCATTCTGA